CAATGGATGCAATGTACTGATACACGTTCTCCATTTTGTGTAATTCTCCGTTCATGCGACGCGAGAGAGTACTCGCGCGCTGTGAGAGGCGCTTTCTGTGTGTGTGCGCGCTTCAGTGTATGCTTCAGCAAACCGAACCGAATTGAGTTCTCTCTTGCGTCGTCAGATTTATCCATATGTCTGCTCTTCTCCCACATATTGACATTTTTGAACGTTTTATGCGACGTGCAGCAAGCGTATATTAGCTAATGTCCCGCCGGTTCATATGTACGCATCTAACCTCCGAACCACGCAGCAGATTCGTTCTGAATTAATCTCATCCCAAATCGTCCCGCGCTAACATTTTCGTCTCGTTTTTATTCGTTGACGAAAATGTCAATAGATTTACGTCATAGTTTTTGTCATTCAAAAAGAGTTTTAGTTCGTTATCGTCTCGTTGTCTTCAGTGAAAAAAATTGTTTACGAAAATTGACAAATTATTCGTCAACGAAATTAACACTGCATATTATGTAGGAACAGAAATAGATTAATTTATGACAAGAGTGCACCAAGAGTCTGACAAATCTACATCATAACAGGAGTTCTGACCTTTGTCACAAAAGGGCTTTATTTCGTTGCCTTTTTCCCGATCTCATGTTTTAGTAATCATCATAAGTTATATACCATTGAAAGCTTAAAATCTCAAACTTCATCCGGTGAAAACCATTTTGAAATCGTACATTGCTTTATCATAGAAATGGCACTTTAATATCTTTTCGCGGTCTCCTCCCTCTTAGCGGGCGTGTCATATTACAAAATTTATTACGGTATTTTAGAATCAAAACTTTATAATCTTGACAAAATGCATATCGTTGGAAAGGTCTGAGTCTCGAGATTCCATTAGATTGGTGGTTATTTTGTGATAGACGTAATATTGAGAGAGAAATTAATAGATTTGTGACAGAAATGCATTAAATAAAATCAATGGAGTTTGGGTGCCACCCGGTGGCTGTTTGTGGTATAGCGCCTAAACAAAATTGCATATTTTTTTAATATCAACTTCAAATTTGGAACACAACTTATGTAGACATATGACTTTAATTTTATATTTTATACTATTTTTTAAAATATTTATTTTATATAAAATAAAATAAAAATAATACAATACATTTTCTTTACAGTAAATTTAAACTTCTATAAATTTTAATACTTTCATTTTATTAAATGATTTTCACTTCTGTAATAATCTGCTAATTGTCTTCTTTAAAAAGAGACCAGCCTTAGGCCTGTATTCAAAAGAGTTCATGAATTATAATAATTTAAGTTTGGATAGTGCACTCAAAATGGGGATGACAGTTAAGGGCTTAAGTAATTTTTCATAAATGTGCCTTAGAAAACACATTACTGGTGTGCCTCTTGAGACGAAGCAAAGGCACTGATGTATTTTAAGATCAATCAGAGCAAGTCTCTTTCAGTTGAAACGGCTCAGACTTACACTTTAGTCTGGGACTAGTCTTAAGCCTTGTCTGTGAAACCCAGGCTCTGTGTTATTTTAGTATCATTGAGAGATTTCTATTTTTAAATTATTTAATTATTGTAATTTTACATTTTTATTATTCATTTCATTTTATATTTATTAATAATATTTTTTGTTATTATTTTTAATAATTTTTTT